CTATTTATACCTAAACTATGTAAAATATTCTAATTGTATTCACTTTCATAAACTTTTTTCTAATCTTTGAAGTTAATTGCTTTGATTTTCACCTTTTCTTTCTGTCTACTTTTATATGTTTGCATTTAATTCATCCCCAATTGTACTGGAAGTAGAAAGTTCTCTCCATACATTCTAGCACATCAGGGAACACCAGAGTTACCTTTGTTTTTGCTTTGGTGACATCGCCTCCTGGAGCCTTCTCTCACCTTGATCCAGAATGGCTTTCTCTAGCAGCTGCACCACTTGTATTTTCGAAGATCACTTCGCCAATATTGTGAGAGTTCCCTCAACGTCTTCCTACACCTAGACTCCATATATTCAGTATATATGATTTACTTTTCCATGTTTTTGGAGCATATCCTAGAGTAGCTTACTGAAAATGGGTGCATGGGGAAAAGGCAACGCAGTTTTGACTTTGTGAGTGTCTGAAAATGATATTTATTCTATGTCTACAAGTGGTTAAGTTTCAGCTAGACATAAACTTCCATGCTGAAAATAACTTTCCTTTTGAACTTTGAGGGGTAGGGCTGTTTTGTTTTCTTTCAACTTCTAGTGTTCCAATTAGCTTTTTAGCAATCTTCATTTGAACCTGAACAGAGAACCTTCAAATGTCTTCATTATTTGAGGAAACTCCTTAGTATGAAAGGCAAAGACAAAAACACATGAGAAAAGTAATTCACAAGAGAAAGTCACTGCAAGAATCTGGAAATGTTACACCCTAATGAGCGAATGCAACAGTACCTCTTCTTTACATCTGGTGTCAGAAATGTCATAATAATGAGCCTCACTGCCCATTCATTGTATAGGTACCCCCTTGCTGAAGCCATTCCCTCAGAAAAGCAGATCCTTTGTCCTAAGAAGAAAAGGTTTTTGCTGTTGTTTTGTTGTTTTAATCTCTGTCCTGCTCTGTTTTTGTGCTACCAGGTGTACCACAGGTGTGCACACATACTACGTAAGTACTGCCACTAACCTACATACATAACCCTTCTAGAAAATATTTTTTTAAAGAAATTCTTCTCATAATTTTCTTTTCTCCATTTTCTTTCCTATTTCTTGAATGCTGGGTCTTCTGGAACAATGTGCTAATTTTATGTATTTCCTGTTTTCCATGTATGGGCAAGTAGGTAGGCTTCCAGAAAGTTTTTTTTAATTTATATAATCAAAGAAACCAAAAATGTGTACTCTACTGAGACTAAATGACCCAGTACTAAACATCAGGATTCCTTGTATAGTCAAGACCTTAGCCAGGTTTCAGCCTCATAACTTACTATCTGAAAGAGAGACCAGGTCCTCAGGAGCAAGGCTATTATAAGCAACTCTCAGTTTTTCTGCAGGAGGATGCATGACTATTTATTTAGGTAACTGCATGCTTTGAAAAGGGGATATTCAGAAATTTTGAGAACTTTTTTTTTTAAATAAAAGGAAGAAAACATTAACAGACAAGCAACCTTTTACAAAACAGCAAAAGAACAGTGCAGACAATACAGAGTTACAAACAAAGTAGTAGGAAATTAACAATGCTTGTTGTATTACATATTGATATCTTCAAATTGGTTTCTCATGAAAACAGAGACATGCAATATTGATCCATCAAGGACTCACTGACAGTTTCTTTCAGCAAAGAAATAGAAGACAGTAGAACAACTATGTTAACTCTCCTGTATATGCATACATACAAAATTTTGAGAACTTTTTGATTTAGCATCTGAATTGATAATGTCCTCTGAGTAACTAAAACAAATCATGGACTGCTGTGAGAATAGGAGTCAGGTAACAAAAGGAGTTCTGGTTCATGTCAGGCTCACAACAGGTTAGTTCACTGTTCCATGGACTCACCCAAAGGCAGTTCCCTAGTCCTCAAATGTGTACTGGAATGAATAGATGTGGTGGATAGCAGAACTTCTCATTTGATTCTTTAGTCTGTGAGTTAAAAGCTACTCTAATAAGAAACTCTGAACACTTCCCCCTGAACAAAGAAGTTAAGATATGATATCATAAAAACATAATGTTTGGTCCATGGCCCCCTCCTCTCTGGTTCTTCCCCTGCTCTCTGATTCCCAAATGCCATGATTTGAGCAGTTTTCCTCCCCTGTGCCATTTCTCCATGATGTTTCTGCCTTGGCACCAGCTGACCATGGACTGCAATCTCTGAAACCATAAGCCAAACAAAATGAACCTCTCCTCCTTTAAGTTATGGTTGTCAGTTGCTTTGTCCCATCTATAAAAAGCTGACCACTTTTTCACACAAGTGCTTAACTGGGACATCTCTTGGTACTTCCTTGACCAATGTTGACAGTAAGTTGGTAAGAGCAAAAGTCACTCACTGAGAAGAGTCTTTTGACCAAAAGCTGAAACACTTCGAGGATGAGGGTCTAGAACCCCCATCAGTTAAACACCATCTTAACCAGCAGAAGTGTTAGAGTCAGGAAATTCAGGGTAGGTAGCAGAAAAGGGAGATTATTGCATTAATAATATCCTTTAGTCATTGCGGGCTGATCAGGTCCACAGTCTCCCAAATGAGTGGACCCTAAGTAAATGAGACAATTGAAATGATTTCAGGCCTTCAGGAGGGTCCAACCTTATTACAGAAGTGGAGATTCTGAGGTTTTAGACCAAGAATGTCTCTAAGCAGCCTGTATTTTTAAGATTTTCAAACAAAGGAGGGGAATACTGAAAAAATGCAGGAATCTGGGTAGGACTTGAGAATCCCTTTAAGGACTTCTCCAAGTAATACTTTATGTTAATTTAGGATAACTATGTTATCTCCAGGAAGGCCTTCACCACAGGAATGAGATGCCTCCAGCTATAGTCTCCTTTTAGTTAATTGGGGTTAGAAGTAAATGACCTCAGCCATGGACTTATCTTGTCCTTTGAGCAGTCAGAACTTCACAGGCCAATACAGGTCTCAGAAGGGCCAGTGACTTATAGAGGTTCACTTACTAGGAGTCCGCTGCCCATCTCTGGAAAAGGGCCTAGGCCTTGGGCAAACTCATAAGTAAACATGAAAAGCCAATTCGTTAATATTAAATCCTGCTCAGAGCTGCTTCATAGTGGCCTCCATCAGGAGATCATGAGTATCCAATTGCCATCTCAATACCAGATGCAATGTTAGGAACTTAGTTCATCCCCTAACCCTTCCTCTTGCACTTTCTTCAAGAAAAGCATCCTGGAGGATCCTTATCCAGAGGCACTTAACTTTTTATACCAACTAAATGGATTTGAATGATACAGAATGTGCATTGCACTAAAAATCATAGCATCACTTGAGTCACTCCCTCTGGGAATGAATTAATCATTCTCCAAGTTTCTATGTCCATTGCCTGTGACCTGTAGCTGCAACTCTCCAAAGGATTTTTATCCAATATTAACTGTTTCACTCAAGGTTATCTGAGGATTGTATCCAAATGTTTCATAAATACATATTGTTCTTTCTTTTATTTCTCTAATATAGGTAATAGTTTTGCTTTTATTTTTTCCTTATCCTGACCCTTAAATCATCTCTGGGTGTTGTACTTGTTGTTGTGTTGTTTTGTTTTGTTTTTGCATCTCATTATTAAGTATGTAGACTTTCACTATCTTTTTGTTAGCTGAGTGTCTTCCTCTTCCTGAAAAGATACACTGAACTCAGACTCACTCTGTTCATTGTGCTCTGCTCTTCCCATAAAAGCTTTCAACCAATCTCCCCACTTCTTCCTTCCCAGGATCTACCTTAAGAGGTAATGACTGCCTCCAGTTTTGGATCCTCTCTGAAACTGCTCCACATAAATTTGGACCTTCATTTTCCATACTGTACTTATATTCCAGATCTCTATTCTGCTTGATTGGTCACCTGCCACTCAACCATCAGTTTACATGGAACTGTCCTCCAGCAGCCCCATGTACTTGTAGGCAGGGCTTCTGGAAGGTGATTGGATGATGAGGGCCCTACAGCTGAGTTGCTTTCAATAGGTGAGCCCTGGTCCAAAGAGGATGGTCACTGGGGAAGTGGCCTGAAAGGGTGGGTCTTACTACCCAGCTCATCTCTTCTCTTTCTGCTTCCCAGCCACCATGTCACATCAGAAACCATAGGAGGCAGACAGGCAGGGGCAAGGTACAAATATATCACTCATGGTAATACCTACAGTGACTCCCTTTCTCTAACCCTACCTCCTTAAGTTCCTACCACTTCCAATAGCATTATCAACTGGAAACCAAGCCTGTAACACGTGAGCTGTTGGGAACACCAAAAACCTCTACCATAACAGGACTATTGTTAATATCCACCTGGTTAAAGCCAAATAATGCATCCACCTGGAGGAGCTTAAATTAATCACACCTACAGAGTCTATTTGGCCAAGTAAAGTAACACATCCTCAGGTCTTGGGTATTAGGACATGGAAATTTGGGGGGAAAGGAAGTAGCACCATAGTCTACCATAGTAACTTTCTGATAATACTCATGATCTTTAGTTCTTGTCAAGATTTGATCAATATATATTGATACCAATAAACAAGTCAGTGGGTGAATGAATGAAGATGATTCAATGCATATTTATTACTAGGTCCACTATGGATTTGGTCATGTTTTACACAATTTGTGGAAGATATCTTGGAAACCAAAGTTTATTCTACAAACTTGACCTAGCTTAATGTTAAACAACAGTCTGTCATTGTAAAGTGGCACCCGGTTTATTGATTATCATGCAATTAACACGAGAGAAGAAGGCAAACTTAACTTTTAAAATGTGACCACAAATATAGCAAAGTAAGAAGATAACAAGAATTAATTCCAACTCAAGAGTGGACAAGGGGCACCTGGGTCCATCTTCACGAGACAATCAGAGTTGAAGAATGCTGAGGGATTTGGATAGCTTTACTATTACGCATCTTTGTGATCCCAGCACACACAAGCCCCCAAGGCAAGCCACACATTTGTGTGTGTCACAGGGCCCTTGCAAAGGCACCACCCAAATCACCGACCTCTCCCTGAAGCCATGACCATTGTATCTCTGCAGAACATACTGTTCCAGGTTTACAGAATCTTCATGATGCAATTCGGTGGAGAACTCCGGATTCTCAAATTGGGAAAATGAACACTTCCAGCACCTCTGAGCAAAAAGCCACATAAACACCTGGACCTGGAATGTCCAGTGCTCCCAGTGTACATGGCACAGGTTCTTCACCTGGGCAGAATCCCAGCGTTGATGACATGAGGTATACAAAAATATGCAGGCAGGAGAAAGAAATCCACCTTAGCCAGTTTGTTAACCTGAGGGAAAATGGTCCTGAACTCATCTCTAGGATGCTTTTCAATTTGGGACACTTCCTGTAATTTAGATTGCCCTGGTTGCTGAGGTTCTGTCCATACATCATCCAAGTCTGCCTCATCCTTAGATACCTTGGAGGGAAAAAGAATTTTTATTATCAGCAGCAAAATTTGCTTCACATTTTGGTGAGAAAATTTTTATAAAGTACCTCTTATGAGGCAGTCATTCTAACTGGTGCCTTACAATATTGTGCCTTTTCATCTTTGAATCATTCATATGAAGAGACATTATTGAGCTCAATATTCTGATAAAAATACTGAGTGACAAAAATATAGACAACCTGCTTCAGGCATACAGGGGAGGTGGTTAGAGATGTGATTTTCCCACCGTAGGCTATCTCACCCAACCTTGTTTATCTACCTAACACATCACACCATCTCTAAGGAGCAACATGCGTCATCTTGTACCTAGAGAGACAGACAGGGTTCTGGAACCATGATACTTGACTTAAAAATCCAACTGTCTGGTTTGCATCAGGGGACCACAAGTAAAAGACTTCACCTCAAATTTCTTTTTTGTTTGGAAACCCTATATCCTTTTTATTACTTTTGCTTTGTTTTTGTCTATGTTGTTGTTATTTTATTATTACCTGTATTCTCTTTAAAATAATAAAAAAGAACTAGAAAAAAATAACAAAATAACAATAACATAGACAAAAACAAAACAGCATAAAAACAAAAATGATACAGAGTTTCAAAGTAAAAGGATAGGAGCCAGACGAGGTGGTGCATGCCTGTAACCTCAGCACTCAGAAGGCTGAGGCATGAGAATTGTTGTGAGTTTGAGTCCAGCCTGGGCTACAAAGTGCACCCAAGGCCAGTGTGAACTGCATAGCGAGACCTTGTCTCAAAAAGACCAAAAAAAAAGAAAAAAAGGAAAAGAAAAGGATAGGAATTAACAGTGATTGTTATATTACATATTATTATCTTCAGTAAAGTTGCTCAGATTACCAGATGTAAGAATGCAAGATTAATCCAACCATTAAAGAGAATCAAAAATAATTTTAAAAGCATCACAAATGATACAGAGCTTCACTTAACAAGATGGTAGGAATGCACCAATGCTTGTTATACTGCATATTGTTGTCTTCAAATTAGTTGCCCAGATTACCAGATATAAGCATGCAAAATTAGTCAAAAAAACTTAAGCATTAACTGTTCCTTTCAATAAACCAACAGACATCAGCATACAATTATCCCAGCTATCCTCCTATATATATTTTTTTTCCTTTCCTTCTTTCTTTCTTTTTCTCTTTCCCTTATCCTTCCCTTTGAGCAATTTCTTTCCCTTTCATAATAACTATTGTGAGTTTTATTTACTCTTTCAGGTTCTTACACTAGGGAGACAATATGATGGTTACACAGGCACATCTGATTTATTTCACTTATGGTCTCTAGTTGCATCCATTCACCTATAAAAGCCTTACATTTATCTTTTGATAACTGAGTAATACTCTATTGTGTAAAAATACCACTTCTTTTTTTTAAAGTCAGTTAAAAAGACTTCAAGATTTTTTTCAGCATCAAATGAGACTGTGTGCAAGGGGTGATAAAAGAATATGGTGAATGCTTACATTTTAAAGACTTATTACAGAAAAAGACATATTGCTAGGAATGACGGGACAAGTACGTTCATAGCAAAAGGAGTACTTTCAGCCTTTTGAGGGGGAATGATGTCATTCTGTCTTTTACTTTAATACATTTTTAAAATTTAAACATTCACCATATTTTTATCATCCCATGTATGTAAAAACAATAAACACCAAGACACTTCCCAAAGCTCACTGATATTCTTAAAAATTATGTTGCAGATTGTTTTTCCCATCTCAAAATGATCAAATCAACTTTCCTGAGCAGAAGAAACACCTTCCTGATCGGGAGAGTGCCAAAATGTTAAGAGACGTTGTAAGTCTCCCAAAGAGCTCTAGCTGGTGTGAAAGGATGCTGACACGGATCCCCAGATTACATACAAAGTGGAACAAGGTGACTGCTACATAAACGTGGCTCAAGCACATGGCTTCCAAACTGTGCTTCAGAGCCACAGGGAGGCTTTATTTAAAGTAATAGATTCTGTGACTCAAAAGGCATAGTTTAGAAATGGATTTATAATATATAAACGGATTATTTAAAAACACATATTGTGTGTTTATATTATACACATAACAATTCTCTCCTGACAGTGTAAAAGAAGGAACACTTCTGCTTAGGACAACCCGGGACACCTTAAGGAGGAGGTGACCCTGCAGTGCTCCTTGAAGGATGAGTAGGTAGGGAGTAAGGCAAGGGGCACCAAACAGGCAGGACATCTCAGTGTCAGGCAGCAAGTTAGAGCCCTAGGCTAACATCTAGATGATAGGCAGCAGGGACAACATGAAAAGCAAAGAAGACACTATCTTTTTCTTTTTCCCTTTCCCTGTTTGCTTAATCATTCCCTATAGATAAGATCTGCACAAGCTGTGGTTTCAAACTTTAGCCCAAGAGAATGTAACATCCTCTGAGCATGCCGATGAGCTCAGGGCCCATATAAAACCCAGACCATGGGTGAACAGCTGGAAACTGCTCAAGGTCTCAGAACAAACTAAGTGGAAAACGTCCACCTACAGCAATGACGGCAAAACATTTACAGACGGTACCTACACAGCAACACAAGGCCCATTTTTATCACAAAGTACCACGCTGCAATTAAACCTGAATACCTAGGCTTTACTTTAGAAAAACAACTCATACAATGACATCTTTTGTTTTAAAAGAAAAACAAAGAAGACATGTGCCATGGGTTTCCCACCACTGACCTAAGGAGTACCAGGCACTTTGTCCTGGTGTTGGTTCACATAGTCCATTTTCCTTCTGAAAAACACTGACCTCAGAGGAAGGAAACGATTCCTTGAAAGACCCAGGTAATCATATAATTGTAGCCAGAGCTGTCACTCAGGGCAGCTGCCATTATGCCATGTGCCCACCTTCATGCTTGAAAGTGTGCTCTCTCACCTATGCTGAAAAGCTATCATTTTGCTATAAACTCTACCTGTTCTCTAGGTAGATTGTCTACACGTCTCACCAGAAATCTTTCTTTAAAGACACAAAGAAAGGTGGCAGAGCGTGGATGGTTCCTCTGACATTAGAACCTGCTGTGTTGGAGCCCTGTGATGTTAGGAGCAGGCTTCCAGGTGACAGGAAGCGATGGAGTCTCCCCGCTGAGGGAGGCCGAAAGCTGAACATGGCGGGAATGGCTAATAGCCCATAAGGATTGGAGCAGCATAGGGCTGAGGCAGGCTGCGGGGGCAGCCGTATACTAGGTGAGAAAGAAAGAGGAGGAGGATGCTGCGTGCCGTTTATCAAGAGAGGAGTTGATCATCCACACAGCCATTCTCACCCTTGGACAAGACTTGGAGCTGGTTCCTACAACCCCGAGGCTTGCTGTGGGCTGGAAAGGGAAGGGTCAGTAAGGAGCTACAGGACACCAGGAAATAGGTCATGGACTGAGATTTTGTGCCAAGATTCACTTCTGTTATCCTAAGGCCTTTGATAAAGTAGTACTCAAAGTGACTAATCCATCTTAATCAACTCTTAACATGTTAGAAAGACCAGGTCTCAGACTTGGCTGGGCCAAAGGCAGACAAGGTACTACAGCCTGGGGTTAGCTCACCAGGAGCCAGGAGGGAGTTTGCAAAGGGCTTTAGGGAGGATGCATGCTTCAAAGACTTCCTGGAACATTTAGGGAAGTAAATCAAATAAAAGAATCAATTTTCTGCATAGAAACAAGATGGAGACTTGCAGTTTATCAGTTAAACCCTAAAGTGCACTGTGACAGCAAAAGGCCAGAGGCCTGGTGACTTTCTTTGAACAAGCTCTCAAAAGGACAAATCAACGCTAAACTGAGCCTCTCTGCTCAGGAAGGCCTCACGCTGGGCAAACCCCCACTTACCTGTGCCTTGCTCTTTGTTACTGCTGCTTCCACACTGGGGCCACAGAATCAGGCTCAGGGTCCTCACACAACTCCAGGATCCACCGGGCCTAGGACTTCTCCTGTCCACTCAGTTCTTGAAACGTCTGCTCCCGTGTACTGATATGCAAAACCATTCTTCCTTTCTAAGGTGGAAGTTTAAGGTCTGGTGAAATCCGTTCCATTTAGGCGACTTCTGAGTAAGACGAGAAATTTCTGATTGCTTGTTCAGTTTAGTTTCAGGGTCCTTGTTTTTACTTTCGTTTCTTAGATCCAGCACTCAAAGCACTTCTTCCTTCTGAAGACAGAGGCAGCACAGCTTTGTGACTTCAGGGCTTTGTTGCGCTAGTACAGAGCTGTGTTCTGGGTTCTGAGAACGCCATAAATTAGTTTTCATTTCCTTCTTCTCTCATTTGAGAAATAATCAGGATACTCTTTCGACACTAGATTAGGAGACAGTCCCTACCCGCACCTAAGCTCACATCCTCCTGGAGACTGGAGAGGTACGTGGAGGGGCTGTGGTCAACGCCCACCTCATACACTTGGGGAATCCTCACCATGGGCCCCTGAAGGGGCATTTTTCCTGGTAGTAGGCAGGTGACCAATACAGAATAAGGATATGGAGCCGAAACCCACAAAGCAAATAAGTAATAGACGTACAACATAAACCTAGGTCCCTATGACTCCAAAACCTGCAGTCTGCACCCACTTCATTCCTTGAGAAGAAGCCAAGCATGTTGTTTCAGGTTCTACGCTGGAACACTGGAGCCATAGGCAGAGGAGCCTGAGTGCACCCTGAATCAGTAGTTTGGTCTAGCACGTTTCCTACATCTGGGTACTAGACCAGGCTCTCTGAGGTATCAATTACCTCACTGAAGGCTGGAGGAATCCCCACACTTTCCTCACCATCAGTAAGAAAAAGATGAAGAAAGAGAAGGGAAAACGTAAATTAACGCTCCTTTTTCTGCCTTATAATGTGTTTAAAGCAACTCATTCTTTGCACCAAGGCATTGTAACTCCAGGATAATCAAACTGTGGAACTTACTGAAGAGACTCAATACCCTATGTGACCCTTCTGCCCATTTTAACAAAACTCAGTAAAGGAGAATGACATGCCCAAAAGGTGTTGAAATCACAAGATCCTGAAATTTAATGGAAGAGGCTGGTCTCATACCTCACCACTGTACCTGTACAGTACACTATGAACAACCACAAGGACGTACAAGGAACCAGTGGAATTAAGGTAAAGCAGAATTAGAGAGTTGCCTTAAATAGACCAAATAACATTTATCAACTATCTACCAACTTATAGTCCCACTGTGCTTAGAGTCAGGCAGGTTTCCATCTAGCACAATAGATAGATAGATAGATAGATAGATAGATAGATAGATAGATAGATGGATAGATAGATAAATAGATAGATAGATGGATAGAGAGACAGATAGGCCAGATATTATCCAGTACACTCATTCCATCACTGAACTACTGAGAATCAATTTTTCTTTGCCCTCCCTTTTCAGAATTGATGTGTGTTTTTATTGCTTTAGGGATCCTTCTTCTTTTCCAGCTGACTACCAGAAATTCTTCTTTCTTTCCCTTCTTTCATTTTTGTCAACTTGTCTTATTAGTTAACAGCACAGATCTGCAGCCAGTTTTCCCGTGTTAAGATGTAGTATCACCTTGGGGCTGGGGATTTAGCTCAGTGGCACAGCGCCTGCCTGGCAAGCACAAGGTCGTGAGTTTGATTCCCGGTACCAGAAAAAAACAAAACAAAACAAAAAAAGATGTAGTATCACCTTGGTGGCCTTACCAAAATCCTGAGTGTCTCTGTGCCTCAGTTTTCACATCTAAAATGGGAGTCATCATATATCCTACCTTGCAGGGTGCCTTGAGTATTGAAAGTCCTTTAAAATAGCTACTGGCACTAGAATACAGAAGTGTTTGATATTTTCGTCCTTGTTGTTGCTGTGTTGCATGTCTCTTTCAGGCCAACACCTTTCTTAAGTATTTTGTGAATACAACAAGATAAAATCACAGATAGCTATTTTTTTAAATTATAGGATAGGCAGTAAAATTATAAGACTCTGTCTAATACTCAGAGAGTATAATAGCCACTTGGGAATGCAGACTGAGAAGAAATGTACATGATTCCCAGCTTTTACCTCCCTCCCACTCCGTGTGCCTCCCTGAGCGAGGTTGGCTCTCCCCTGGGACATACATTCAGCCTCTGTTTTGATGGCCACCCAACCTGTAAAAGGTGACAGGAAGTATAACGAATTGCGATGTCCAGAACCAAGTGCTTCTCAGGTCAAGGGTTAAGTCTGCTAAGAAACCCTTTGAAGAAAACAAAGATTATATTAAACCCTGCAGAAAGAACTAAGGCCATAATGTATAGGTTTTCCAGGAGTTGGTTTGTTGCACCATTTCTGTAAAAAATAGTTGGCTTCAGGCTTCTTGGGATCTACCACTAGGATGGTGGGGTCTGCCTTGGTAGACAACCACATATTTTATTGTATTGTATTTTACTTTATTTTGTTTTGTAAAAAGAACTTCCATATGCATAAAGAAAGCTGAGACCCAAAGAGGAGAAGTGACCAACCCATGTTTTCCCAGCTTGATGAGGCCGCTATCAATAGAGCTTTGACTGCCATTAGCGGCAGCCAATTCCTCTTTCTCAGCACAGATTTTCTTAAAGCCACAGTCAGAACACTTCCTATGCTGTTTCATGGCTGTAGCAAACATGTGCGCCCTGCAGGAGCAGGGTCAGCAACCACCTGAGCAGTGGCCAGTGTGGGCAAACAAGTGGATCAAAGTATACCCTTCATGAACCCCCTTCTGGGCCTCACTTGGTTCACAAATCCTGCACTCCTACACCATGGTTCACCTCTCAAATTTACCACGTGTACTACAACTACTTGTATCAGCTCTACTTTTAAAAGAACCCAATCCACACAAAAAGAAACTTATTGTATCTTTCTTCATTTTCTTCTCCTGCAAGAAAAAGGGAGCTCCTAGAGTAACCTGAAGGGGTGGGAGTCGCCACCCTCATCCTCATAGAAAGAAAAGCTGAGCAAACTGAAGATCAGCAGTTCTGCATAGAACCATGAGAGACACAAGGTCACAGGGCAAACTGCTGCCTAGAAACTGGAGACCAATGGATGTGAAGAATCCCAGACCCAAGTCCAGGGACGGAGGCCTATGAGTAATCTGGCCTAGGGTAGGATCTCTTTCACCTGTAATTAGTGAATTGCTGGAGACTCAATGAATGTGAGGTTGAGAAATTAAGGATCAAAGTCCACTTTCTTAACTCTTACATCTAGGAGCCCCACTATGTTCTCAGTGTAAAGATGGGGAACACTGACTGCTTAGGGCAAGGGAGAAGAAATGTAACTATTTTTAATAATAATCAGAGGTCTCTATTTGCCTTAACTTCACCTTGCCTCATGACAACTCTTTCACCAGAATGGACAGACTCGAGTATTACCAAATTCTAACTGCAAAAGGAAAATACTCAATGTCAACCACTTAGCTTTTAACAGATGTGATGAGAAATACCCACCCCCTTTCCATTTCTGACTTCCTCTCTGCAAGTAGTGAGGACAAAGCCCACCAAGCTGGCAGTGATAGGGAGTAGAGCTCAGCCCAGGCCCAAGGAGGATATGGCCACCTGCGTGATTCCTTCTGGGACGGGAGCCAGGTCCCACACAGCTCAGGTTCTCTACTCAAGTCATAATATCTAAGGGAGAAATACAAAATTCATTCAGCTATCAAATTTTCTAAACGTGCAACTAGAATCCTAAATTATCAAGCTATGGAAGATATTTTAAAGGTTCTTAAATTCCATTTTTCCTAACTACTTTGGTAATATGCAATCTTAGAATTTTAAATCAGAGCTCAGATACTATTTATTCCTGCAGTGACTCAGGGGGAAAACAATTTTATAGGTTGTATCTAGATGTTTCCCCGAAGCCTCGTGTGCTCACAGGTCAGCCTTTTGGGAGGTGGTTGAAGCATGGGTGTGTGATGCCAGATTAAGGTGTATGATACTCTGATTAAGGGTGTGTGATAACTAAATTGGTTTAGCACAGATCTGCAGGTGGATAGTGGAAGCAATACTCTGGGTGTGGGTGGAACCACCCAAAAGGCTTGTATCTTGGATGAAACAAAAGGAAGAGAGAGGCTTGCTTGCTGCCTTCCTGCCTGCCTTGCCATGGACTATTTCTCCTCTGCCATGTCCCTGTACCATGCCACTCTGCCTTGGAGCCAGATGGCTATGGGCTGAACCCTCTAAAAACTATGAGCTGAAATAATCCTTTCCTACTTTAACCTGTGGGTGTTGGATATTTTCTCCCAGCAGTAAAGAAAGTAACTAAGATAGAAATGGATTTAAAACTAGAAAAGAAGGGTAAAAATTGTAAATCCAATGCTCACTCAACTGCTTAACCTCTTCAAATCTTAATGTTTTGTCTGTAATAGACAAATAGCTGTACCCATTTCATTCAACTGAATGAATTGTGTACTTGTCTAATTTAGGTGTTGGGCATAATGACAAAATATCATAGAGTATTATTTCCAAAAAGAATGAATATTAAGTTTTTCAATAACATCACTTCAATGGAATAAAATATTTGAACTCAATATTTAAAGAATGCAGAAGCCATAAGGGGAATATATGGAAAGGAAACAGATGTGTAAACCAAGAACCAAAAAAAAGATAAAATGAAAACTTAGAGCAGTCTCAGAAAACTGTTATGGCTTGTAGCTAGATGTTCCCCCAAAACCCCATTTGGTCATAGTTGGAGCTTTTTGGAGATGGCTGGATCTAGGGCATGTAGTGTTGGGATTAAGGATGCCATACATGAGGTGTGGGTTGCACCACACAAAGGGCAGGTAGCCTGGAAGGAATAAAAGTGATACGCTGGCTGTTGCTGCTGATTGCTTTGCTGTTCCCTGCTTGCCATGGCTGCTGCTGGTTCCCTGCTTGCCATGGTTGCTGCTGGTTCCCTGCTTGCCATGGCTTCCTCCTCGTCTGCAAGGCCCCTCTGCCATGCCACCCTGTCATGGAACCAACCAACTATGGGCTGAAACCTCTACAAACTGTGAACTGAAATGAACCTCTCCTCCTTTAACTTTGGGT